GGACCTGAAAAACCTTAGCCGCTCACTCGTTTCAAAACATGCCTTACGGTCAAGCAGTTACCATGAAATGCTGCCAAATTCTGCTCTGGGTGGACATTGTGCATCGCTTTCAGAAGTCATGCAAAACTCCTGCTGTGCTGAGTCTTCGGGGAGATGGAAATCGGCTACCAATGGACAGATGTTGAAGCGCCATGCCCCGCCTCATTTGCTACGTTTATACCCCACCTTGTTTCCCCAAAGGGGACCCAAAGTGGCTGACATTGTTCCCCTCTTCTCCATTTTATCCTCTCAACAGTTTTGTAAGGTAGGTGAGGCAGAGAGTCTATTAACTGGCCTAGGATCACCCGGGAGCCTTCCATGGAAGAGAAGGGGTTTGAAACTGGGTCTCCCAGATTTCAGACCGGCTCTCTAACCACTAGACCGTGTTGGCTCCCACCATACCGTCTTGCAGTCTTAATTTGCCACATGGATGCTAGTCAATTTTAGACATTGATACCCGACACAAGAGCGAAGCAGTTACCTTAGATGTGGCAGGGGCTCAAGTCATTTACTGTAACCAGCATCTTTTTGGATGGAACAGAGAACAATGACAAACCAGTACGGATGCTACAGCACTGGCATAAGATCAAAGGCACATGGAAAGTAAGTGTTCCAATTATGCTAGGAGGCCCACAGAGCGACTGACATTGAGGGAAGGACGTGTGAGCGTTCCATTAACTCAGGGGCCAGAGCTGAAAATGCCCCGTCATCAACACTTGACAGACTCCACAATGACAGTGTGGGCTCTCTCACCACAGCACTACCAGCCATTTCCAACATCCAGGCAGACTCATGTCATAACCAATCTCTTCTTATATATAGTTGAGTATCTGACCAATCCTAAAAGAAATCAACCCTGACTGTTCCCTGGAAGGCCAGATAATGAAACTGAAGCTCAAATACTTTGGCCACCAAATGAGAAGGAAGCACTCACTGGAGAAGACCCTGATGCTGGGAAAGATTGAAGGTCAAAGAAGACGGGGACGGCAAAGGATGAGATGGTTGGACAGTGTCATCGATGCAACGAACATGAAACTGAGCAAACTTCAGAGGACAGCGGAAGACAGGAGGGCCTGGCGGGATCTAGTCCATGGGGTCGCGAAGAGTCGGACTCGACTGTGCGACTGAACAACAAAAATCTGAACATTCCACGCGCCCCTAAATCAGTTGGCTCCATAATGTGTCACTCAGAAGTTGTCCCTATCCACTGGCTGCATTGCCTGACTCCTGCCCATAGAGGCAGTGCCCGCCAAAACTTTCCTCAGAAGACGGTTGCTTCACTCCGGTGAACACAGCTACTGTCTTTGCTCTCCTCACCAGACGATGATTGATACCCTCAGGGGACAAAACCCACTGTCTTTAGCCTCCAAGCCAAGTTTGCTGAGGCAACACTTTCCAGAACGGAACCCCCCCCCCTCAAGTAAACAGCTGTCAGCATGGCGGAGGTGGGGGGGGGACCAGCCCAAGTTATCACAAAAAAGCTAGTGGATACACACACAAGCAGAGACAGAAGATGGGACCAGACACACAGAAAACAGGAAACCAAAAACCTGACGCATGCTGCAAAGCAAAAATACAGACAGTCACAGACAGATCTACGTAGGCATGCACAAACAGGAGGAGAGCAGGAACAACTGGCTGAAGTGGAGAATGACATATACATTAAAAATACAGAGAGTGTGTAACACTGGGATAAACCCTGCGAGTGGGGGGAACCTTTAACCACACCCAGAACACAAAATGACTTTGCAGACTGCCCAATTCTAGAAATTACTCCAGAGCCCTGTGTGCTTCATTTTCTGGCCCACATTGTGTGACCTTGGACACCAGTTATTGTGTAACATAAGGTATGTGAGACTTTACTTCCACATTTGTGCCTTTCTATTACATACTGCTAATATGTACTTAACCTGCTTCCAGCCAATGCATTCGTTACACATCACATCTTCCTAGAATCCGTTGTATTGCTTTTACAACGAGCTTTACTGCTAGTATATAATAACCCGGTTTCAAGTTGGTTATATTTGCAATTGCTGATCTTTAACTCGTTGGTCTCTAAGCTGCTACTGGACTTGAATGTAACTTGCTACGGTGTGGCTGCCATTCCGTTCAAGAGCGAGTAAAACCGGCACAGTTCAGAACAAAAGATAATCCAGCCCCTGTACGCTCCGACATCTGTCACACGCATCAGGACAGCTTTAAAGGGTGGTACAGGCAGGTGCCAATTCAGGGCTTCAAGCCTGAATTCCACAGCTGAAATCCTCCCAGCCCACTGCTCTCCAGCTGGCAGCTCTGTGCCTGGAAGATCTGAATACACTGACTGCCAGCTAGCTTGGCAGGTGCGACATTTTAGAACAGGCTTGCCACAAAGGACAACAGCTACTTTCATTACACACGTTTGGGCTCAGAGGAAAAATGCTGGGCTCAGGCCATTAAAAGCTTTTGCTGCTGCTTACCTGACTCAGTATGCTGAGGAGAAACTCACTTGAATGCTCAGGTCTGATTAGTTCTCCGTCTGGAAGCACTGAAAGAAGCCACCCTGTGGGAACAGAGGATCAATTATAATATACAGCCTGAAACGGGCTAAAATACTTCAGATGTTTTGAAGCCAATGAAGTATTTCACCACCATCAGAGCCATCCTCCATATAAATTTGTTTGCATACCAGTTCCAGTATACTTTGCTATTTAGATAGATGCAAGCTTAGAATTTTTCACGGGCAAGAGAAAAACTTTGCCTGTAGAAGTCAAACCAGGAAAAAGCAGCTTGTTTCCTTTCATCAAGACCTTAGCCTTTTCATTTTCATTGTGACCAGTTCAACAAAATTGGTGTGTGTGTGTGTGTGGAATAGCTACCCTGTTGTCTCTCCTTCTCACATTCACACTTTGCTGACAGTGTGACCTATGTAGTCTCCTTAGTGGGCTAACCACAGTCAGCACCAGGAAAACAACAACACTTGCCTCTTGTGGGGACATTCTGCATGTATTTGATTACAGGGACAAACTAACAACTATACTGCTGACTGCTCAGGACCAAACCCAACTAACGAGCACAATCTAACTTGTTGAAAAGCACAAGTGATGCTATCTGCACCTAATCATGTTAGGGAGAGCTCAAGAGGACCGATGCAATTCACAGTGCAGAAGCCTCACTTTCACGAACAGAATTAGCGGCAAACCTGTTTCTGTAGGCACGGATATGACTGGATACTTCCACCACACAGAATCCATATGCATATCAAAGTGGCAGGAAAGATGAGTTCTAACCCACCCTTCCTAGAGGTAGAAAAAGTTGTTCACAGCTGTTGGTCCAAAAGAAAATTCAAACCTAAAAATATAATACATGTAATACCTGTCATTGGGAGACCAACAGAACAACACACATCAGTGGACAAGTCTTCAAGAACTCTTCATCCACCTTGATGTTCCAAAAACAAAAATCTTTAAAAGGGGGTGGGATAGGGAGATGCCTCAAGTCACAATGTTAAGTTCTGCTCAAACCCAGCTATGTATTAACTGCTAGGTAGGCATGTAGGCTCGAAATGATGCTGTTGTCACAGTCTGCCTTTAGGCATTCCTCCCAATTTTTTTTTTTGGTAGCATCTAGATTCTAGACTGATGGAGAGTTCTGGAGAACTTGAGAGCTTGTACGCTGTTACATGCCATTGGGCTGGTCCCACTAAAGAGGCAATACGGGGATTGCATCCTTGGTTTTGAACTCTGCTAGAGATGCCAGTTTTCTATCGGAGAAAGGATTCCTGAGGGAAGTTTTTGTTTAGAGGACCACTTTATTAATCTGACTTTCCATCTACAGCACAGACACAGGTTTACCATCTCATGTGGAGTTTGTGAGCACCTGGTGGAAGTGAGATAGTTCACCAAAAGCCTCTGTAAGTACAGAAGGCAATTTACATTACCATAAGCAAGAGTATGTTATTTGCACATGGCATAAAAAAAATCAGTGGTTTTCATATTTTTTACCATCAGGAAGCTTTTCCCTTTATCTGTCTGCTATGGGAATTTTGCACAAGATTCTGTAGCATGCTGGTGCACACAACCAGTTCACATAAATCTCTGGTCAGGCCTGATAAACCTTAGCCTTGCAAATTGCCCCAGAAGATACTTAATACTCACCTGGGGCTGCACATGGGCGTGTGTGAGATCAGTAGCCGGTGGGCAAGCTGCCTTCCCAGGAAGCTTGTCTGCCATTAGTGATCTGATCACTGGGGACACTAATAAGCATCTGCAGAAGTCAAGATTCCTCAGAACACAGCTAGAAAATGGCTTTATTTAAGAAAGACACATATGTCATTTTCCATCAGATAGCAGAGACTGGTAATCCTAAGAGTCAGCTTATTTCTGCTATCCCACAAAGCATCTGGAAAAGATGCCAAACTAATCCCCGTGAATGTCTTCACCAAGAGGGTACATTGCAGCTGAAATTCCTGCAAGCCTACTCTGCAATGGAACGCACTAGGGAAGACTGGCAGCAACTAGCAACTCCCTTTTTAAGGGGTTAGAAGAATCATTCAAAAGAAAAAAAATCCCCTAGGAAAGGACTCTTTAAAAACCTTTAGAATCTGGTCCCTGTCTCTACTACTGAAATATATAACTGAGCCAAAGGATAACACCGTCAGCAGAACCATTTACAGCAAGGAGCCGCCTTTTTCCATTGCTGCACATTTCAAAGACTTATTTTGCTCTCTCTCAACACACAGAATTGTGGAAAACCACTTTACACTCAAGTTACACATTAGAATTAGTATCCACTTTCGGTGTATTAGCTTTAATAGCCGGTACCATTGGTCTCATTTGTCATGATTACAGATACATTCTTTTTCAAGTCACTGTAATTAACTCAAGCATCTATATATGCTAAAGTTTCATGTGGTCAAATAATCCATGGGATCTAAGAAAAGTTAAAATACCCTCAATGTTATTGCTACAGAGCAAAGTAAAGAAGGCCACCTGATACAACCAGCGGGATGAAAACCTGGCCCAAACATGTTGCGGTCGTAGTCTGCTAAATCATAATCCCACACAAAACAGAAAACACAAGATTCTAGTACTTCTGGCTACAGATATTGAGTGACAAAACAATTAGGAGTGAAAACTGCGTTTTGTTTAGAAATCAGTCTGTTTTATTGTTCAGGCTATCCCACCCACTGCTCCTGCACTGAAATGGACTATTTTCACATTAAAAGGTGTTATTTTTCTGGTCCCCCAGCACCCATATTATACAAACAGGCCAAAAGGAAGTCAAGAGACTTTCAATGAATGCATGTTGTTGTTGTTCAGTCGCACAGTCGAGTCCGACTCTTCGCGGCCCCATGGACCAGATCCCGCCAGGCCTTCCTGTCTTCTGCCGTCCTCTGAAGTTGGCTCAATGCATGCATGCAAACCTCTAAACTCTCTCATTGGAGAGCCAAGAACAGAGCCCATGACTAAACATTTCATTTCATTCACAATTCCGCGGGGCCTGTAAAACGGAGCTCTTCTGCCAGGCTTCTGGGAGCCGCCACCACCACCACCAATGAAGAACATCAGTTGGTTAAAAGGGAGAGGGCTCTGGACCCTGAAAACTGAACAGCGAACCCTGCAGGGACACCCAACTAACATCGGGAGCTGACTGCGAGCGGAGAACGTTCTACACTGGCTGATACCACTATATGACTATTAAGAACCACTAGCACTTTATTATGATTTTATATTTGTTTTAACTACAACTATGTTTTAATATAATTATCTGTTTTTATGTGAGCCGCTCTGAGCCAGCCTCGGCTGAGAGGGCGGGTTAAAAATCTGAAAAATAAATAAATAAAAAATAAATTGCAAGGACTCTGAGGCCACGTTTCAGCATTTTCATTTAAAACTGAAAATCTGAAAGGTTCAACTACAAATGAACTCCTAAGAAATACAATCCACAATTATTCTGTAACATGATATTTACGAGGAAGGATGGGGGCGAATGTGAAATAGCAGAAGCAATGATGACTAAGGTCCCAGAGGCAAGCAGTAATGCTTAGCAAGACAGCTGTAGAACAGCTGAACAACCACCAAGGCCTGCGGCATGACTCGTTATGCAGCCCCACCAAGAGCCAGAATAGCCCCACTGGACAAGGGCTGGGTTCCAGGCCCAAATCAAATAAGAATTTGTCTGACACTTGGTGATTCACCTTCATTCCTCATTTGTGCAGTGGGAATTAATGGTCTGCCAATATTAGCATTTGGAGAGCATCAATGGTGTTTCTGAGACTGCACTGTAGAAAGTTTGTCAGGATATGCAAAACCAGATTCTAAAGGAAATGACTGCCTGTTCTTGAGAAGGTGGGTGTCAAGGGAAAAACCATGTCTTCCTTCTACACTACCTTTCCATCTCAGTAGCACCATGAACACACCAGCTCTCAGGCACACAAGCAACACTGTTGAAACGTACATTAAGGCTGTCAACTCAGATGACTGAACAACTGGAGCCAGCAAAACAGCATCCAACTTCAAGCCTCACACACTTGCACTTCATGACATTAGTTTTGGACAAAGGGAAACCGATTAAGTATGCGGAACTTCACCAATGTGAACGGCCCTTAAAGTATTCCACAGCTGATACTTTAACGTTAGCCATTTGCAGCAAACAGTCACATAAAACTCACTGAACAGGAAAATACAATGATAATTTAAACAGTCACAATCAATATACTGAAGCAGTAACACCCTCACAGGTCTAGAAGAACCCCTCCTTTTCAGCTTTAACAAGGATATAAGCAAATACGGACAGACACTGTCCAACACAAACTGTTGTGTTATCAACTGTTATTCTTGAGCAGAAGTTTTCAGTATACATTTTTATCTTCAGAGAACCCCTTCCTCATTGTCCTGGCAATTGAGAAACCCCCAAGAATATTTATTATTGTATTCATTTTATTTCTGTGCCACCTCTTCTGCTTGAGGCAGCTTGACAATTAACTGCAAGAGGATTCTGAAGTGTATTCCATGTCCCAAGGTCCAGGCCTTCTGGAGAGAAGTCAATGCCCAAATACTTTTAATTACGGGTTGCGCCCTCCAACTACAACCCTCCTTGTTCCTTTTGAATCATTAGAGCCATCCTGCCCCCGATGGGCTTATGAAAGAGTTGATAGAATTGTGTCTTGCGGCCGCTAGGAATGTTATTGCATTTCATTGGAAATCCAAGAAGACGCTGCTACTGAGTGAATGGTTCCTGAAACTGTGGGACTTCTTTTTACAGGACAAAGTTTCCACTAGCATCCTACGATCCAAAAATCAACCCGTTCCTGACAATCTTCAAGAAAAATGGATGCCCCTCTTGGAAGCCTCAGCAGCACATAAAATCGACACCTCCCTGTTTGCCCTGCATAAACACCAGGACTTGCTTTCATATTTTTAACTGTTTTTTTATATTTTATTTTAAAAAAAAAGTGTATTCCACAGAATACACACACATCCAACACTCACCTGCACAGAAGGCCAGCACAGGTGAACTAACCACTGGGAAGCTTGCCCACTAATAGATTAGATGTTG